AAAAAACATAGAAAGAGAAAAAAGATAACCCCTACCTACTGACCCTAATTTTTCAGGACTGAAACAGGAAACACAATGTTTGGTTCTTAGGCCTAACCCACCTGGTGGAGGCTTGCAGTTTCAGAACGTCTCTGTTTGATAGCTCAGCGAAAACTATGCCCTGCCAGACAGTTTTCAAAGTGACACATGCTGACCCGGACACTTTTCTCCATTTACGGCGGGTACAAACAGGGTCTGCTCTCCTGGGTGTATTAGAACGTCCAAAGACCGCATGCTGAATGGGTGTGGATGACAGAGTTGACGTGCTAACACATTGCTACACTTTATCTTAAGCCTCCAGTAAGAATAGAAAAATGTCACCCCGTCCCTGGAAGTCGTGTGAGGTCCGAGGCAACATGACACCCATCCATTTTCTCCATCATTTTGTTGTATAAATCTTTCCAAACTGATTCAAACACTTGTTTACAAATCCATGATTCCACAAAAATATTGACCGAGCGACCACTCTCTTTTCTCCCACTAAACTTTCATAGCAATGTGACGGCAATCTGCAGCTGCTTGTATTCAACATGCGCACAGTGTTGCCCCATTCCCAATACGACCGTGCATGTAATCTCCATATATTTACTCTCTAAGTACGGCATAGCTCGTCTTTTGAACGTAATGGCTGGCGGATGTATCAGCTCTGACACCATGCATGTTCGTTATGCCGACCTTATATGAAAGCCGCCCTGTTGCGCCAGAGGCAAGTTTCTTTGCGCGCCTACAAGACTTCATGACCGGAGTTAAGCCCTACTTCCTACCACTCACCAGCGATAGGCGACAACTCAAGCCACTCTCGCTATCTGCGTATTGCAAAACCGGCCATGGCACCGAAGAGTGCATTAGCTACGCTACAGCTGGTTTTGATTTATTTTGGGGGAGAAAGAAGAAAGGTAAAGTTGAGCTGCGGCCAGCAGGAGAAACCGTGCGTGGAGTGCTGACAATGTGAATAAAACTCCGTCCTGGCTGGAATGTCAAGTTTATTGGGAATCAGTTCTCAGCACTTCGATATGAAGCGTAGCGTAAAAGGTCTCTGGCTGGCCATCATCTATGGATGAAAGATTGTACAGTCGACTGCAATAGTTGCTGTCCATAACTTCGACCAAAGTGTACACACTCTTGCAGCCTGTCGGCTTGGTGATTCAACTGACGGAACAAGCTCTTAAGAAACGACTCAACCATGACCAGACCATTGAAAGTTGAGGGAAAGTTAAGCATTTGAGAGATATGTCAATGTTCACCAACTGAAGGTATTCCGATGCCCAGAGATGTTTGGTCATTCACCGGTTGCATAACGATCTCGGTCTGGAAGAAATGAGGCTTCACGAACAGAAGCATGGCATTGAGTTGACTGTTGAATTCTCTGCACTCCTACTGTTGCTACAACAGCAGTTCGAATTATCCGAGCCATCTATCATCCAAACGCTGCCGGCTCAGTTCGAGAACACAGTCAAGTTTCGCAATTTATACTCCCGACTTCGGAGAGAGTAGTCACACAAAGTGCTCCCATTTAGAAGTGGAAAAGGTCGTCCTGACTGCACACTGAATACTGAGCAGCCTAAAGGACACATCAATCAGCACGTCTGCTGCTTATCTGGTCTTCTGTTGCTTCCTGGCTGTGATGACACGATCATCTACAAGACATCTGTAACGAGCTCAGGCTCAGTGAATTGTGCAACACATGCAATAAAGATGCAATCCGGGCGCTTTGAAATGGTGATTAGACCGTAAGATTAGTTTTGTGGTCCTTGCAGAAGGTGATGGGCCCCGGGCCAGCAATTTATGTCCAGTTAGTGTCTTAGAAAAGCTCGGCTATCTATGAAACAGAGCCTTGTATTTTATGAACTATGGAGTTCACACAAAGGACCGCATAACTTAACTCAAATTGTTGACACAATATTCAAGCAGGTGATTTGTGGTGGCAGCGAAGGCCTGCTTTAAGTGATGATAACTTTTTGTGTCAATCGAATGTTGTTCCTCACAGCTAACTAATTTTGATTTAAGAATCAGGAAGAGAAATATCGATTAATTATAAATGAAGCACTGCAACAAACAAAAAAATATCTGATTACAGAAATTGCTAAGAAACAAACCCACAAGCGATAAACCAAAGTAATAAAAAAGAAATCGACTAATCATAGTCAGACATCAAGCCCATAGCGACAGGGCTACAATTTCATTTCAATCCCTGTAAATACATGAAATTAGTTTAGAATGGAGCAAATGGAACGAAAACGTACCAGACGCTGTGCCACATGTAAAAGCAGAAAGTCTCAAAGTCTCAAGTCTGAGCACTTTACAATGTAGTATATCACGACAGTCTGATGGGAGCTAAATCTTGGCAGGCATTTCTCAAACACAAGCCGATGTACTTGGTATTCTTCTGTCAGACACATGAGCAGCCGGACCTAGAGACCATGATAATGTGGGATTCGTAGACATGAGGGACATAAATTTAAGATTTCGTCGGGCTCGGATGATAAAAGGTTAGGATTTTCAGGGGTTTCCTGTGAAGTCTAAAGGACCGAAAACAGACAAAGGACATCCAATCCTACCACTGGACAGTCATAAAGACGTCTGGACAGAAATCCTGATAGTGAAAGCATGCAAAGCCATGTATTCCTGCATCGTTTTCACCTTATTGAGAAAAGTGACACCTAGACAAAACGCTAAAGTCATTGGCGCCGGGAGGTCTCCCGATATCGCAAAGGACACCTTCTTCAGACATCAACATTAGAAGTCTACCTTTATAATGTAAACGATGCCAATCTACAATGGGATTTGCTGACAGAGCACGACATTAAATGGAGTGCGCATGATGGAAACGTTCGATGAAGATTGGAACGCGATACGTAAATTTGAGATACGCAACTTCCGTTTGGTGGATTTCAGGGCTGTCTTTGATAAGACTGTCTGTTGTGTGTTGTAAGACAGCCATCTATCTGGACCACAGAGAGAGTCACTTAGCATGAATGGTACATAACGTCTTACTTCATCATCTTCGACAGATCAGACTGACAAAAGTTTTTGTATTCAGAGAGTTTGCCAAAGGGCACATTTACCATACACCTGGTTAGAAAGAGTAATTTAAATACTTTTAAAGGAAAACCATCGCACCCGCAGTGAGATCAGGGCCAACTTTGCTCAAAATTTGATCTTACAATACTTGGAGCAAGCATACTTAATAATGCTTTCCAAACGAACGGTGATAGATAAACCCATATCATCTGCAATGGGACCATATTGGCAGTTTACTCCACATCCAGACTTGAAATTGCGTTGAGAAATATATTCAAATATTAGATGCTAAATGTACAGTTTGCAGCAGGTGCAAACTGGACCTCGCAAGGTTGACTTAGAGTCAGAAATATTTTCAAATATTACATTTATAGTTGCTAAATGTACAGTTTACAGCAACTGCAAACTGGACCTCAACCGACGATTTATGATAATCGTGCCACAAGCTCAATGTAGCGTTAAGAATGCATCAGTTTCGCATGAGCCTCGAACCGAGAGCGCGCATTCTGATTCACACCAAACCGCCGATAGGTAAAGTGATTCTAGAAAAAATGTCACACAGGCCGAGTTCATCTGAAGGCATGCGGGTAACTTTAATAAAGAAATCGGGGTAATATTAAGTATCCGGGAGAGTAATACTTAATTAACGCCAGGGGCATGTTCGGATCCAATGATTGTGATTCCGGTTTTGGGGGATGTCTGACAGGGTTGAGTCATCTGTCAACGACAAACGAAAATGAAGCAAGCTTCCTGGCCCTGGAATTACGTCCTGTAGGGGAAAAAAGAGAAGACATGAATCCATCCAATATTTACCTATATTTCTAGCCATTGCTGGTCACACAACGTGGATCTGGACAAGGGTTATGCCTGTTAACACTAGAATGGGTAACCGGTAACCGTTAGCATTGAAAATTTCACAAATGTCATACATCTGTCATCTTGTGAGCTGAATGTACCTCAGGGCTTAGCTTAATTAAGTCCCATGTACCTTTTGGAGGAAGTAGTTGTTGCATTTTCTGTTTTGATGTACTGCTGCCGTATGGTACTTATTTCATTGTGCAATTTAGGTCGTATGATGGCATCAAAGATGAAGCAGACAGTTGGCAATCCTATATACATAGAATTGAGATGTACGTCAATCCTTTATCGATCTCTGTGGAAGCAAAGAGATGTTCTGTTTAATCTATTTGACTTATGATAATGGACGATAATGACACATTTGATAGCATTCCAGATCCATTACACTGTCGGGGGTCGCCATTTATTAGACGATCAATCATTGAATTAAGGAAATGAAGTCTGGAAGTGTCTGCTCTCTGAAATGTTTAGCGTTTCATTTTCCAGCACTTCCTCTGGTTTCCTCCAGGCACTCAGTTCCAGACGTCGCAACATTCTCCGTACCTGCATGTTAGACGTGCCATGTACTTGATTTTTTATAGCCAATGCAAAACAAGACCTATTTGAAGATTCCCAAGTACCCCAACTACTAGGTACTACCCCAGGCAAGAAGCACAAATTACTTATGTGACACCTTCTACTCAAAAACATAAAACGATAGTAAAACAAAAATACGTACATAATTACAAAGTGGGTAAAAGGAAAATGACTAAAAACAAGACATTCAAGTTGGTGATCTGTCAATTACGAGAATCTACCCGTACGGTAAATGAAGTTTTGAATCACAAAACTAAGTGTGGATATAAAAGTGATGTGTACCTTCGTAGCAGTAAGGAACATAAAGAATTGACTAACATTTAATTATTTAGTTAGATAAGTTAAATGATGGAAGTTACAATTTAAAAGAGTTACAAGCTTTGCATTATGTCTCTGTCTGTGGTTTAGATGACTTCATCTGTTACGTTGAGCTAGGTTCTAAATATCGCAATGGGAAGTCGAAACTCTTCTTTTCTCAAATGATACTAACTCTGTGTTTTTTTAAGATGGGTACACCAAAGAAGATCTGATATTCACGTGGAAGGACGGTAATAAATCAATACACAACCTGGACAAGATCGACCTGTCCCAGTTCTCCCTCGGTGATCACAACACAATGACCTCAGAATCCGTCTACGAAACAGGTAAGTTGGAGCCTTGTAGAATAGACATACGTGGGAGTTTGCTATTGCTACAGATCGAGGCATTGCCTCCTCTCTCCAAGGCATGACGTGGTATCTGAGCCAAGACCCCCTTTGTTGTTAGCAACTTTGTTGCTCTTAACAAAGAAACAGAATGTGTATTCGTGTCGTATTGCAATGGCAAAAAGTTTGTTTGTTTGATTGATTGATTGATTGATTGATTGATTGGTTGGGATCTCCATTGGAGTGACATAACATTCACAGTATTCTTCCTAGCTGAAGACAAATGGGTATGGACAGAAAATAACTTTGTAACTTGTGAAGAAGCCCTAACAGCTCAGCAGACTTGCTGGCCATGGGAAGAAGACACAGTGGAACCAAATGGATGTAGGTGTTGAATGCCTCCGCAACGACAGCTCTGTAGCTGCTGGAGACAGACCATCGTCACCATCATATCTATAAAAAGTCTACCTGAGCACTTAGATACCGAGCAATAAACACTTTGTGGAACAACATTATCACATTTTGTCTTCCCAGGTGTCTACCCGAGACTGATACTGAGCTTCAAGCTGCACAGAAACGTGTTTTTCTTCCTGCTGCAAACCTACGTGCCATCCATCCTGCTCGTTATCAGCTCCTGGGTGTCCTTCTGGATCAACCACGAGGCGGTGCCGGCCAGGGTAGCTCTTGGTATGGACCATCTTTACATGCAGGACGGATATGTACGGATTTCATCAGATATTTGGGCAGAATTCAGTTTACAAATTGGTTCCTCATGCTGATTCTTCTTCATCATTGTAGCATCAATGATTTACCTACTACATTCTGCAAGGATAACAGAATTTAGAAATAAAGCTGCCATCAGTACACGATTTTGTTGACATATAGCCATACTTACGATAGGCTTTCCATTGCTTCTTACGACATGTCACAAGCATGCTGAGCAATGACAACACTATGATAACTTCCAATAGCTACATACTGACGACGTGACTGCACATTCCTTTGGGGTTCACTATCATTGAAACTCATGTTTTACCATTAAGAAAGAGATAAAATTCACATGTAACAGTGACCACATCGTAAGGTAACGGCACTCGCAAATATATAACGTTTAAAGCTACTTCATTCTTCATCAGTAGTATTATTGAAACGTTCTCGAAGGCACATAAGTTGTCTTCGTTGAAACTTCGTCTTGCCTGATGTTTGTCCAGTCTTTTGTGGTCCGTGTCAGACGACAATGTTCCTCAAATATGTCACATCCGTACGTCCCTTACTGTCGACTCGTATGTAACTGTGTTCCATGAGCACGTAAAATGTCGGTTTTTAATTCTCTGGCTCATTTTTAATAAACGTAACCCTTTTGGAATTCGACAGCTTTGTATCTCCAGCCACATGTTGATAATTCATAAATCCTTTTCTAAAAGTTTTTATTTTTCGATTGCGATATCCAACATGAAGGCTGTAAAATTGATCGTCGTTTAGAGGAAAGGTTTTGCTCGTGATGAATCTGCTGTGCCTTTGGCATTCCAAGTTACGAAGGAATGGGTTTAACTAAGGTCAAAGACAGTCACATTAAAGGCTATGTTCATATGCACTAGCAAGACATTTACAAATTGCACCACCAAAGTATCAAGAACATTTAGACAATAATTGATTAAAAGATTTGCCTGTGCCGAAACTAGCTCAACAGTTTTCAGCAACTCCTAATCCCTGTACGTGGTAATTCTGCACCTTATCTCTGCAAAGTGGGTGCCTGTGGCAGATAATGTGCCTTCAACGCAGTTGCTTGAAGCGGTTTCAGTTCTGTGCATTATCTACCACACACCACACTTCTTCCACGATTAGTCTAATGTATTGAAGGCTGCAGCTGGGGAGTTAAGAACTCCGATGACACATCCGTCTTGTTGCGGTGTCCGCGTATCCCCCATGTAACGGTGTCTTTGGTCTGCCGTTGCAGGCATCCTGGTTCTGTTGAGTATGACACTCCACCTCACTGGTGCGTCTAAAAACCGGTTATCTTCATCCTTCTCTCCGCGTGTGTTGTACCCCCACTCTCCCCCCGCCTCCTCACTCACTGCTTCACCTGTCTTATGTTTGCTTTTATTTCTGTGTGTGTGGAATTCGCGTTTGTGGGAACAAACGGTGCATGGTGTGCTGGCGACCGTTTAAATAACGTTTGCGCACAGCAGGGCAACCAACTTAATGGTTGCATTGGAGATTCCCCGCATTTGTGTCCTTGTGCGTTGTTGTGTCGACTGTGTCAGATCCTTGATGGATGCTGCTTCACCCTCTCTTCTCATCTTCTGTCACTCCGCGGTATGATCTCCCCACAGGCTCCATGGTTCTCTTCAGCATGACACAGCTATTCTCTTCTGGTGCGTTCTCACTAGTTTTTTGCTTCCTCGCTCGCGACATCTCCATCGCCTATAACTTCGCATTGTTTTAACTCAACGAGGTTATCTTATGTTTTTTTACTACATCACACCGCAACATATCTAAAATCTACAGGCTTGTCCGCCAGTGCTGTGTTCAGTGTGTCCTTGTGTGGCGTCATGTACTGTAGATGCAAGTCTAACTCTTCATGCGTTAACTCGTGATGAGTTACAATGTGTGAAACTTTAGACTCATTCCATTGATAACTATAACTGTTATACTGACTGACTAATCGCTTTATGTGACAAAGACCATTTAAAAAAAACCCATGGCAAGTAAAACACTGCCTGCCGAAGGCCTTCAACCCAGTGTGAACTTTAAACAAGGAACTGTTTTGAAAATAATAGTGTGTTCTTTTCCAGGTATAACCACCGTTCTGACCATGACGACGTTCATCACCAGTGCGCGAGCGTCTCTACCCAGAATCTCCTACATCAAGGCGGTGGACGTCTATCTGGTCATGTGCTTCGTCTTTGTCTTCGCCGCCCTCCTGGAGTACGCCTTCGTCAACTTCGAGTCCACCACGTCCAAGCACCGAGCTAGGAAGAGGCTCAGGGCCAGAAAGAACAAAAATAAAAAGCAGGAGGAGGTTCGATGATCGTGTCATATTTTGCTATCTGACAGAGAACTAGTACCATTTTGCCTGTGATTGGTATGTGGAAATGTCATACGGAAGACTGCAGGGGCAGGCAAATGTGACACATACTTAGAGCACTAAAGATATCTGCTCCTCAACACAAAGATAAATCGATTCTGTTCACATTAACAGACAAGCCAGGAAGTACATGTAGACACGTCTACTGTAGATTATTGTCTTCTTTAAGGCAAAACTAAGATAGTAAAAAAACGTGTTAAAAGAGGAAGAGAGAGAGAGCGGCACGGAGACTCCAGGGTATGTCTACTCAGCCACGGACTTGCTCTTTTTTTCAGGTAAAGGTACTGGATGAAGCAAAGCCGCTGAAGGGTCCCCTGAAGGCAGCCGTCATGGAGTCCAAGATCGACGACGAGTCCCCCACCTCCCCCGGGCTGGGGTCAACGGCCTCCAGCACGCGCAGAAGGGAGAGACAGACCACGTTCTTCGACGTGGCGTCCAACGTCGTCTCCAATCTTCGCGAGAAACGTGCCGCCTTCAAAGTCGAGATCAAGGACATCAACGTCAT